CTAATTTTTGTATTTTAGTAGAGATAGAGTTTCACCGTGTTGCCCAGGCTGGTCTCCAACTCCTGGGCTCAGGCAATTCGCCCACCACGGCTTCTCAAAGTGCTAGGATTACAGGTGTGAGCCAGCGCGCCCAGCCTAACTTTTAAAAATGACAATGCGGGGAAAGATGCAAGAGAAAACACTACATATGTTTAAAGACAACACTATTTTCACAGTAAACCTGCCTTAGAACTTACATGCCCTTTTGCTTCAGAGCAAATATCCACATTAGAAAAAAATGCTCTTAGATCGCTTCCACAAAATTCACATTCGGGTGATGTCTCCTCCTCTTCATCCTTCAGAGAGAGAGGAAAAAATTAAGGAAGTCTCCATCAAGACTCAGAGCAACAAGAGCATGGCCCTGCGCATAGTTGGTGAATGGAACATAATCTCTACACAGGCATCCATGATGTGTTGCCTTGCATGATTCATGTCCCTCATTGTTAAAGAATAAACGTGCATTTTTACTATGCCCAAGAAGTCATCAAGGGTTTTCAGATCTGGGGAGTAAGCAATTCTTTCCACATGGCCATGGCACCCAGTCTAGGTTTGGAAACAAGCATTCCACCAGTCAGTTCCTCACCACTCTAGTGGCAGTGTGGTGGTGCACCATCTTATTGGAGCTACTTGAGGTATCCTTTCTCTTGCCCTTCAAGTACAGGCATTAATCGGTCACTTCACACGATCAAATATGGCAAACATTCACCCTTGTTTCCAGGCCTCCTCCTCCTCCTCCTTCTTCTTTCATCTTCTCTTTTTCACCTTCTTCTTTTCTTCTCCTCTTCCTCCTCCTCCTCCTCCTCCTTCTCTCTTCTTCTTCTTCTTTTAATAATAAGCCTGGGCAACATAGTGAGACCCATCTCTACAAAATACTTTAAAAATTAGCTAGGCATAGTGGTGCACACCTGTGGTCCCAGCTACTTGGGAAGCTGAGGTGAGAGGATTGCTTAAGCCCAGGAGGTTGAGGCTGTAGTGAACCATAATCGTTCCACTTACACTCCAGCCTGGGTGACACAGCAAGACCCTGTCTCAAAAATTAATAATAATAAAATAATAATTTTTTAAAAAGACAAGGTCTCTGTCACCCAGGCTGGTCTCAAGTGATCTGTCTCAGCGTCCCAAAGTGCAAGGATTACAGTTGTGAGCCACTGTGTCTGGCCTGTTTCCAGGCTTTGTGGCCACTCATATGGGTTGAATTGTGTCTCCCAAAAAGATATATTGAAGTCCTAACTCCTGGTACCTGTGAATGTGACCTTATTGAGAAATACAGTCTGTGCAAATGTAATCAAGTTAAGATGAGGTCATTCAAATGGGCCCAAATCCAATATGACTTGGTATCTTTAGAAAAGAGGGACATTTGGACCCAGACACACAGAGAATGGTGTGACAACTGAGACAGAGATTGGAGTGATGCAGTGGCAAGCCACGGAATGCCAAGGACTGCTGCCACCACCACAAGCTAGGAAGAGGGAAGGAAGGATTCGCCCCTATAGGTCGGCCCTGCCAAAACACTGATTTCGAACTTCTAGCCTCCAGAACTACGAGTCAGTAAGTTTCTGTTATCGTAAGCCACCCAGTTTGTGGTACTTGTCATAGCAGCCCTGGGCAACGAACACAGTCACTCTAAGTATTATTCTAAGTAATTGAGCTCTTTGGCATTTTTTTTTCCCTGTAGAGCATGTTCACTGTCTATTGTGCAAATCATTATGTATTTTTCATGTCATTTTAAAAGAGTAATAATAAAAAAACATGAATTAAAGTCACCTTGAAGTTAAGGCCTAGATTGGACCTCTCTGCTTTGTATGCCAGAATGGAAGGTGGTCCGATGCTGGGTAATGTTCTCAGAGAAGGCTCAAACAGTGTCATGAAGTCTTCCTTAAACTAAATTTAAAAAGAGAAAAGGGTGGTGGGGGGAAATAATTGAAGATCGAATAAACTATTTTTACTATGAGAACAGTGTACTAGTTAGTACGATAAACATTTCTTACCTCCAGCTCATATAAAATATTTAGTTTTGGCTCTTCTGGATCAATTACCCATTTCTCTGAAGAGAAAGAATAGATTTATGAGAAATGTTTAAAGCCTTTGTGCAGTGCATTCCACTTCTGTAATCTGGAGATTCACACCCACCCACCATCATCCTCCTAGCTCAGCACACACACACTGTTCAGATGCCCCGAACCCCGACATTTTCACCACCTTCTTACACGTTCTTAGGCAAGTCATTTTTCAAAGCGGATGGGCTCTGTGTGAGTTAAGGTGGTTCCCTACTGGTGGTTTACCTTTGCCAGCAAAAGGAGATGACGCCAAACATGCATTTACCTCTTAACTTAGATGCCAGAGACTCAGGTTCAGTTTTCTTCCCTGTGAAAACAGTGTACATGTGTCATCAATCTGACAAAGTAGAAAAGAAGCTGAATATAAAAGAAAGTACATCTCTTGGAAAAATAAACACCCTTACTATGTTTCTTATATCTTTTAATCTTTTGCCCCTTTTCCCAAATAACATTTTCTCAACAATAAAGAAGAACAAAGGAAAGTAAGCATTCTATATAACACAGTTTAAAATGTTTCCCCTTCCTTTCTAGCCCTAGAATACAGTAGTCCCCCTTGATCTGCAGAGGAAACATTCCAAGATCCTGAGTGAATGCCTGAAATTTCAGGTAGTACCAAACCCTGCTATGCACAAATTTCTTTTTCCTTCACAATTTTACAGATAGGTGATTCATCCTTACCATGTGTCTTAGCAACCTCAGCATACTATTTTTTTCTTTTTTTAATGAAGTCAATAACTTTTACCTTTTCACTTAAGGGACACACTTTATAAATTCTCTTTGGCATATCCAAATTGCCAACATCACTTCTCTTGAGCTTTGGGGCCATTATTAAGAAACTAAGTGGCTCATGCCTGTAATTCCAGCACTTTGGGAGGCCAAGGTGGATGGATCACTTGGGGTCAGGAGTTCCAGACCCCCCTGGGCAACATGGCGAAATCCTGTGTCTACTAAAAATACAAAAGTTAGCCAGGTGTGCTGGTGGGCACCTGTAGAACCAGGGAGGCAGGGGTAGCAGTGAGCCGAGATCATGTCATTGCCCTCCTACGTGGGCTACTGAATGACAGTCTGTCTCAAAATAAATGAATATGTAAAATAAAATAAAAAGAAACTAAGGGTTACTTGAACACAGCCCTGTAATTCCACAACAGTCAATCTGATCATCAGAAGGCTGCGAAGTGACTCCAGCAGACAAAGAGATGATTCATGTCCCAGGCAGGACAGAGTGGAATGGTGAGAGATTTCATCACTCTGCTCAGAATATCATTGCAATTTACAACGCATGTGTTGATTATTTCTGAAATTTCCCTTTTCAGACTGCAGGCAGTTGAAACCACAGAAAATGAAATTGTAGATAAGAGGGGACTATTGTGCTACACAGATTAATATTTTCCTCGGTCATAACCATGCTTTGCATACCCTTTTGTTTTCTGCTTCTTTTAAGTACCATCAGTCTACTTTATGTCTGTTATTTTTGGTGAGATTTTTCAGGTAGGAGGGTGCTGAGGGTTATAGTTCAAGACAGTGAAGTAAACCACCAGGATTACTCTATCTGTAGATTCCAGAAGCACTGGAAATGGGGAAGAAGGCCATCCACAAATCAGCAACTTTCAGTAAATGTCTAGAAGATTTAAAGCAGACAGGATTGTGATGATGAAAAACCAATCAGAGCAACCTATAATGGGACAGAGGCAAAGGGAAGAGGCTATTAAAATGTAAGGGACTTATTTTCTCAGCAATGCCAGGACAGCAAGGGCTGCTAGGGCTGCTCCTGGAAACAGGCTTCAGAAGTTGATCTAGGCTAGGCGTGGTTGCTTATGCCTGTAATCCCAGAACTCTGGGAGGCCGAGGTGGGAGGATTACTTGAGTTCAGGAGTTTGAGACCAGTCTTGGCAAAATACTGAGACTCTGTCTCTGTGAAAAACTTTAAAAAATTTAGCCAGTTGTGCTGGTGCATGCCTGTGGTCCCAGCTATTGGGGGCTGAGGTGGGAGGATCACTTGAGCAGGAGGTTGAGGCCACAGTGAGCTGAGATCAAGCCTCTGCACTCAAGCCTGGGTGGCAGAGCAAGACTTTGTCTCAAAAAGTAAGTAAATAATTTAAAAATTTCAAAAGAAGTTGATCTATTTTGGGGAGGTGGGGAGCAATGTGGATCATCTGAAAAAATTTTAAAGATGTTTTAGGCATCCTTATCTAACAGAAATGCCAGCACAGATATTTTAAAAAATTAATGCACAAAGATTTTCATTAATGCATTATTTGTTATAGGGAAGAGCTCAAAAAAATAAACAAAAAAACAAAAGACAAGAACAACCCTGATATGTCTAGCATTACCTAAGTCACAGTAACTGTATATGAGGAAATATCATGGCGTAATTTCAAAGAATTAGGTAAGTCATTCCTGATATGGAAAGATGTCCATGATACACTACTGTCTTAGTTCATTTGGGCTGCTATAACAAATGCCCTAAACTGGGTAGCTTACGTGAAAGAAAAATATCTTGTGGCGCCAAAATCACTAAGCTAAGGGGAAAAGTCAAGCTGGGAACCACTTAGGGCAAACCTGCGTCCCATTCTATTCAATGTCACCCCTCTGCTCACCAAGATAAATGCATATCTGATGGCCTCCTTTGGAGAGGCTAAACAGAAACTCAAAAGAATGCAGCCATTTGTCTCTTATCTACCTATGACCTAGAAGCCACCTCCCAGCTTTGAGTTGTCCTGCCTTTCCAGACGAAACCAATGTTCATCTTATGTATGTTGATTGATGTCTCATGTATCCCTAAAATGTATAAAACCAAACTGTGGTCCTACCACCTTGGGCACATGTCACCAGGATCTCCTGAGGATGTTTCACAGGTGCGCATCCTCAACCTTGCTAAAATAAACTTTCTAAATTAACTAAGACCTGTCTCAGATTTTCAGGGTTCACACTTTGGTAACCACAGAGGGATTCTGAGTGGAGGTTCCTCTGACATTTGACAGATCTCCTATCAGTGTTTGGTACTAGCTTGAGCTATCTTTATGGCTGAAACCAATAGGATAATTTGCTGAGGCCTGGAAGCACCCTCTCCAGAGAATCCCTGATCTAAAGTTTATTTTGCTCTACAACTTCTTATTTTTTGAAGTTTTACTTGCTTCCAACATAAGGAAGGCAAATTTTTCCCATTTCTATGACAATGGAAGGGAGGTAACTCTTTTACAGAGTTTGAGCTTGCTTCCAACAGGAAAGATAAGATTTTTTTTTCCCTGCCCCTTGGATGATAGACAGCAGTCTTCAGCCTGAGACCCATCCCTAGGTAAGTAACTGAATTGGGTTTTGTCTTGGCTAAAGGTAAAATTAACAACCAGCTGGTCTTACTTTCTGCTTACCACTAGAGTACTCAGTTATCATATAAGCTGTGCGATAATTGTTTTGCTTACTGTTTTTTTTGTTGTTTTTGTTTCTTGCTTTTTCCCATTGGGTTTGACCAACTCTATCTAACTTGGATCAAATCCAAAAGAAAGTTCCAAGTTACGGGGAATGAGGTGTCTGAAGTGGCTAATTTCCCACTGGGGGTGAAAAAAAGGTGACATGGTTGGGGGAGAAAAATGGCCAGCAAAAGAGGGGGAAAGAAAAGGAAAGATTTTTGATTTTGACTACCTAAGGGGATTTCTTTACATAACAAGGCCACCTTTTTGCTGCCAGGCCAAACTGAAAGCTGTGGTTGTTGCCCCATGCTGCAGTTCCATAGCTAAGGTTCTGCCTTCTTTTTTCCACCGCAACAGCCTGGGTTTTGGTTCCTAAATCAAGCCCTTTCTGGTTTGATACTTAGTACTTCTGAAATAACAGCAATTTGTCCTAGCTGAAATACAGTGATGAGATTTAAAAAATTTTTTTTAAAAGGAGCTCAATGGTTAAAATCAGCTAACATCCAAAATGTGTGTGTGTATATGTGTGTGTTTGTATTTAAAAGGCCTTCGAGTTTTTTTCTTTTCTCTTGTAGAATCTTGTCTCTTTTTTTGAGCAAAAGTTTTTTTTCTTCTCAGTTGACTGAATTCTGTCTTCTTCATTTACTTTTGCTGTCTCTCCTTTCTCTTGCACCCTCTGCTGCATGAGTAAACTAAAATAGTTTACAATAGCCTGGGGTTCCTTAAAGAAAACGGAGAAGGTACCAGACTCCCTTTGAAGGAGAAACCTGTTTTTCCTTATGGAAAAGGCCCCACTTCTTAATATGTACACACATGAAATGTATATACAATATATATTTGATAATTTAGTATAGGATAAAGACATCATTTCAAAGCAGAGTGGAAGGGTTGGACTGCTTAAAGAGTAGTATGGGGACAAAGGTTGGGGGGAAGAAAGGATGGCCATCTTCTTAAGCCATTCACAAAAATAAAGTCCATATTGATTAAGGCGCTAAAGGGAAATAGTAAAATTCTAGAAGTTTTAGATGAAAATGTAGGAAAATATACATATAACCTTGAATTAGGGAAATACTTTTTAAACCATAAAATGTGAAAATCACAAGGAAAAGATTTACTTAGATCAAATTTAAAATTATATGTAACAAAAAATGACCACAAGCAAATGTAAAAGACAAACTAAGAGGAGCAATCTGCAACATATGCAACATTCAAAGAAGTATTACAGATATGTAAAGAGCTGCCAAAAAATAAACATAAAGAAAAGACAACCCAATGGAAAAATGGGCAAAAGATATGAACACTTTTGCTTAATTCAAAGAAGATATTCAGGTGACCAAAAAATATAATTGGTATCAAGATGCTCAACCTTGGCAATAATCAGAATAATTAAGAAATATAATAATAATCATTTCCACCTACCAGACTGTCAAAAATTTAAAAGAGTGACAATATAAAATATGGCAAAGTGTAGGAAAAGGGTAGTCTCAACAACCCTTTTGATGGAAGCATACATTGGGTCAGCTCTTTAGGAAGGTGATGATTAAAATGTGTTAACTATTTGCTCATCAATACCACTTTCTTGGCATCTGTCTTAGAGCAATATTTGGGTGTGTAAACAGAGAGGAGGCAGCTTACTGTAACACTGTGGAAGTGAATATCTAGGAGAAACTTTACCCATCAGTTGGGGAATCTTTAAATAAATAATTGTACATCTATACTATGTACTATTACATGACAATTACAAAGAATTTTTACCTGTATTTACTGGTAAAAATTTTCAAGGCATATTAAGTGGAAAGGCAACTAGAATAATATATTCAGCGTGCTACCATTCATGTAAATAACAACAGCAAACAAAAGTGGCTACACTACTATACTTTTATATGGATGTAAAAGCTTAGGAAAGGATTTGGAAAGATACACACCAACATGATAATAGTGGTGACACCTAAAATTGAGGGTAATGGTCAAAATAAACTATTGTTTGATTTGTATCATTTGACTTTTTAAAAGTAAGACTGTGTTGATGTTTTAGTTACAACATTGTGCCATTAAAAGTTTAGTAATGGGACTGTGGAGCATGATTCCATTTCTATTCTACACTTATTTTACTGTCTTTTGAGCCCACTCCAATCAGGCTTTTATCCCCATAGTTACACTGAAGCTGGTCTTACTCACATCACCAATGACTTCCACATGCTAGATCTAGTAGTTAGTTCTCAGCCCTCATCTTCCTAACCTCCGAGTACCATTTGAACCTGCTGATCATTATGCCTCCTTGAAACTTTATTGGTATATAGGACTCTTCCTGGTTTTTCTGCTACCTCACTGGATGCTTTTCTTCAATTTCTTCCTCATGTCCCCAACTTAACAATGGAGTGTTCTGAGCTCAATCTCCGGCTTCTTGCCCTCATATTTTCTCAGCAGCCAGCAGTCATTAAAAATACCAATTGGATTGTATCACTTCTCTGCATAAATTCTCCAGCAACTTCCCACCTCGCTCCCAGTGAGAAAGATCTGGTCCTCAGATCTCTCTAACCTCAACCCCTAAGATTGTCCTCCTTGCTTGCTTGCTCTACTGCAGCCACACTGGCCTCTTGTTCTAGAAAAAGGCACTTGCTACGGAACACCTTTCCTGTGAGACTGTCCTGGCTCATTCTCTCCCCTCCTATAGGTCTTTGCTCAGATACCTCAGGTTCTCAGGAAAAGATTTCTCCGGGCACCCTGTATAAGCTTGCACCCCACCCCCAACCCTTGACACTTTCCAGCCCCTTCCCTGCTTTACTTTTCTCCTTGGCACTTACATCATCTAATGTTTTATATATTTACTGATTTATTCTACATATCATTGCTCTTACCATCACCTCCACGTCCCACACTTTAATACCACTGAGACGGGGGATTTGTTTGGTTTTTTTCACTGCCGATTCCCTATTTCAGGCTAGGCCTATGATAGGTGCTTGGCAAACGGTAGGTGCTCAGTAAGCATCTGATGAATAAATGACATAACATAAAATGTGAAGATAAAGCTGAAAGGAAATACGCTAGAAAAGTTAAAATTTTAATTATTACATTATCTACTTGTCAGTGGTTTGACATTTAAAAAGTGTGCGTATGTTACTTTTATAATAAAAAATAAAGATATGTATCAAAAATACAATGGCAGATTATTTCTTGATGTGAGCATAATTGCTACTGTTTATTGATTACTGAAAATATTGAATCTTGTTTTGATCTTCATAAGAATCCTGTGACAATATGACTATTACCAAGAGATGAAGAAAGTAAGACTCAAGGAGGGTAAGCAACTTGCCCAACATCACAAGGTTAGTATGTGTTGGGGCCAGGATTCAAATCTGGAGCTACTGGCCTTCCACACCTGTGCTGTTTCCAATAGGCAATCCTTCCTCCCAGCAAAAGCTAAGAAGCCAAACTACTCACTTGATTGCGCTTTTTCAGACAAATCTCGAAGCCAACTTTCTTCTGTTTGTACTGATATTGGAATTCCTGAAGACAAATTGTGATTCATATTTCTGAAATTTAGACCAAAATGTTAGGTTTGAGTAGACCTATATAGTTGTCAGCAGGTCTTCTAAATATAGGACATTTAAAAATCAAATAATTAAGGCACATAGAAAATACTGATTCTATTTTCTTTGAAATATTTTCTTCGAAATATTTTCTTCCATTATTTTCAGTAAACTTAAGCACAGCGTGTTTGCACCAGATCTTTTTTGGGGGGATGAGGTGGGAGGATAGCTTGAGCACAGGAGTTCGAGACTGGCCTGGGCAGCATGGTGAGACATTGTCACTACAAAAAAATTAAAAATTAGCCAGGTGTGGTGTTCTGTGCCTGTAGCCCCAGCTATTTGGGAGGCCGAGGCAGGAAGATGGCTTGAGCCTAGGAGGTAGAGGCTGCAGTAAGCCATGATCGTCCCATTGCACTCCAGCTTGGGAGATAGAACAAGGCTTTATCTCAAAAACAAACAAACAAATAACCACAACCATACACTGAAGCGTCCTTGTCCTAACTCTAGTAATAGTAGGATTACCCAGCTTGACTCCTCCCTGCCCAGACACTCCACAGGAGGTGACGCTGTTATGCCCCACCCACCTGCACAAAAATCATAATGGACTCTCCCGTGCAAGGTCCGTCAGAAAACAGAACTACAAAGCTAGGGAAGGATTCCATTCTAGCTACTTACCAGCCTTTCATTTATAAATACAAATAGGCAATGAGGGATTACCAGTCACTTAAGAAAAATCAATAACACTGAAGAGAAAAAGCAACAGAAATAAACAGAACAACTTTGAAAAAATAATACAAAGAACAAAGGAGAACTTTAATATATTAAAACAGTACCCTCAAAGAGATAAAAACAAAATACAAAAAAGAACCAAATTATTTTGAACAGTAACAATCAGAGAGCAAGCACTGGTTCTTGAAAATTGTAAGTATGAATCCTCCAATAAAAAAATTCTGTACAAGGGCTGTATAGTAGCATGCAAAAAACACCAAAAATCTGGAAGATACTGCAAATACAAAGGAAACGTTATTAAAGATGGAGGATCTACCTAGGAGGAGCTCTGAAGAAAGGAAGAAAAGGGGAGAAAGTAATCATGTATCAGAATGGTCTGAGGATAAGACTGGTGAAGCAGTATTGGCTACTAGGAGGCAATGAAGCAATGTCTTCAGAGCTCTGAGGGGAAATGGTTTCAAATCGCTTCTTTTATGCCAGGTTTTATTATTAACAAAATATGAGGAGAAAATGAAGAAATTTCGAGATAGGCAAGAACTCAGAAATTTGACCATTCCATGAGACCTATGTAAAAAATTCACCTGAGGAGTTTCTCCAGCAAAAGGAAAAAGAACAAAAGAAAGAAGGCAATATGGGAACCAAGAAAGTGTGGCTGGTGGGCTAGCCCAGAAAAACTGTAGACAGAACAACGGAGAGTCAAAAGTTTATTTTTTAAATTTTTATTTATTTATCTTCTTGAGACAAAGTCTCATTCTGTCTGGAGTGCAGTGGCGATCTCGGCTCACTGCATCCTCCATCTCTTGTGTTCAAGCAATTACAGGCACGCGCCCCCATGCCTGGCTAATTTTTGTATTTTTAGTAGAGACGGGATTTCACTATGTTGGCCAGGCTGGTCTTCAATTTCTGGCCTCATGATCCGCCCGCCTTAGTCTCCCAAAGTGCTGGGATTACAGGCATCAGCTACCGAGCCCAGCAAAAAGTTTAACAAGTTTTACAGACATAGGATTATATTTTCTTGTCCATGGATTCAATCATATTATTGGTTTGTTAACATGGAGGTATGAGTCTTATTTATTGGTTTTTAATTTTTATAATCAACCTATACCCAGAGCACTTTAATTATAATTAACAAACCATAATACAAGCATAATAAAGCTTGGCAAAGTAAATAAATTTATGTAAATATATTACATTTTAATATAATTTATGTATCGTATATAGTTTGTTAATTGAGAAAAAAGGAGAGAAGAGAGATGGAAGGAGGAAGTGCATAAATATGTTAATTTTTCATAATAGTCAATGATACTAAAATTGATCAATCAAGAAGAAGTTTAAATATCCTGAAGTCCTAAATGTTAGAAAAACTAAAAATAATATAACTACCAAAGTGGAGAGGTGGGAATTCAATACATAGGTCAGAAATTGATAAACCAAGAAAAGAAAATGTTATTTAAAATTATAATGGAAACAAAGCTGAAGAAGCTAAGTGGGACTAGAGGTGAAGAAAGGCATGGAGGTTTTCACTTTTATACCTTTGTATAGTTTGATTTTTTTAAACCACGTGGATACATTATCTTTATTACAAATTGAATTAAACTTAAAAATGTAAGTGGAACAGAACAACTCTCCTTAAACGTAAGAGTTTAAAAGTTGTTTACAAAAGCAAAGTTAGGTTAACTAGTAATTCAAGATCATGGACTTAGGTTTGGTGTGAGATTTCAGGGAATATTTACAAAGATGTTCCAGATTTTTGTTATCTTCTTATTATAGTCAAAGTGCTTGAAGGCTAATAGCAATAACAAGAAAAAGGAGAGAGAGGAAAAAGGCCATTATTTCCCTTTCACAAAAGGTGTCCCTGATCACTCTTGCATTTAGCCAATAAAAGCCTATGTTCTAAACAGTTGTACACCTGGCACATTATTTATTCTTTCATGTTACATTGATAAGTGGACATGTAATCTCTAGAGCTAGGAGCTGGGGATAGGTAGGAACCATTATCTCTTCCAAAGTGTCTGCCAGTGTATATTTTTTTTAAAAAAACTTTTTTTGAATAAGTCTTAAATGCCCTGGATTATTTTACTTTACTTCCTAACATGTTTGTGCGTAAGGTAAACATTATTGGGTTCAAAAAATATGAAATTTGAAAACATTTTCTTACCTATCTATACCCATTTCAGACATGTCTTTTCTAAACGTCTGAAATATTTTAGGGAAACCTGTTGAATGAATGAAACATTTAAAAATTAGCTACTCCCTCTAAATCAAAAGGGCAGTTTTGCCCCCCAGGAACACATAGCAATGTCTGGAGGCATTTTTGATCATCGCAAGGATACTTCGAGCGTACGAAGGGTAGAGGACAGGGGTGCTGCTAAACATCCTATAACTCGCAGGAAAGTCCCCAATCCTCCTCAACAAAGAATTATTCAGACCCAAGTGTCAATACTAGAGCTTGAGAAACCCACTCTAAACGACTTCTCTTCCTTTTTTCTTTTTTTCAAGGAAGTGGCTAGAGGGGCTTCAGTATAGGATATTAAACACAAAAGGAAGTTGTGTTTTTTTGCAGAACTGTTTTAACAGTACAGCACCCTTAAGGCACTTCTCTGGAAATAACAAGTGTGTGTGGTGGGGGGAGGCGCGAGGGGGGGGGGAGGGGAGGGGAGAAGGAGAGAGAGAGGTAGGGGAGGGGAGAGAGGGAGAGATGTCGCGGTGTGAACGCACGCAAAAGTGTTATAAAAATGAGCACTCCCAGTAGCCAGGGCAACAAGAGATCCTGTCTCAATAACAACAACAACAACCAACAACAAATTAGCCAGGCGTGGTGGTGTGTGCCTGTAGTTCCAGCTACCCGGGAGGCTGCGGTGAAAGGCTTAAGCCTAGGAGGTCGAGGCTGCAGCCACTGCACTTGAGCCTGGGCGACAGAGCGAGACTGAGCCTCAAAAAACAAAACAAACAAACAAAAAAACAAATGAGCACTCCATACAGCAATGCCCAAGTTCGACTTTTACAGTGTTTCGTCTATATCCTAAATCTTGCATCATCACAATAGCTCAGCCGAGTTCAGTGCCTCTGACAAGAGCGTGAGAGAGATTAGGTGTGTGGAGTGGTGCATGCATTTAAAATCAGGCATGAAACGGAGGTCAACAAAGGCACAGGAGTGGGTGGACCAGATGCCCCCTGGGGACTAGAAAGCCCTCGAGGAAGGGGTGGGCCGGGGGCGGTACTTTTATGGGAGGAAGCGCTGGAGGGCAGGCTCGCGCTCGGCGTTTCGGTGCTGGTCGTGCTGTGGCTGGGCTCGGGCGTCGAGCTCAGGCTAGGGCTGACGATGCTGGCCAAGCGGGAACGCACGTCTGGGAAGTCCTCGTAGTCATCAATGTCCATGACCTTCCAGAGGTACTCATCGCTGAACGTCTCTGGGGCCTCCAACTCCTGCTCTTCCCCCACCAACTCCTCCCCTTCTTCCTCCTCTTCCTCCTCCTCCTCTTCCTCCACTTCTTCCACTTCCTCCTTCTCCTCCTCCTCCTCCTCCACTTCTTCTACCTCTTCCTCCACCTCCTCCTCCTCTAACCCCTCCTCTGATTCCTTTTGGTCATTCTCCCTCGGGTCTCCGAAGCCGCTAGGCGAGCGCAAGTGAGCCATGGCTGGCGGGAGGCGGGATTACAGCCAGCTGCGTGGCCGCCGTCCCCGTGGGCTCCCGCGGGCGCGCGCCGCTGTTGTGCGTCGGTCTCCCGGGGCAACTGCCTGCCTCGCGCCCCCCGAGCCTACCGTATTTAAAGCGGTAGGACCCGGTTAGCCGTGTGGACTGCGGTGCGGGGGGCGGGCGGGGGCCACCGCAAGCTTCTTTCTGTCCCTACTTTCCGGCGTCTGTGAGGCCCCTGGCAGCCTGCGGCGAAACCATCTTTTCTTTCTTCGTCTCCCATTCATTCTTTTTTTTTTTTTTTTTTTTTTTTTAAACTGGGGTGGAGGAATTGCTTCTAGCGACGGACACCCGCAGTGCCACTTGGTATGGCGGATGCCGGAGTCTGGTTTTTGAGTGGACAGATGCTTGCCGGAACCTCCAGTGAAACTTTGTTTACAAAATCAGGCGCCAACGTCGTTTGCGTATTTTAAAAAATTGCCTTAAATATTAATAAGCGTATTAAAAGTTGTGACGGCGTGTAGGGGTGGCCAGTGACTGTAATGGTAGGAAGAAGAGTAGAATAGACCCTGGGGAACACTTATCAGTCTCCATGATGGACCCTGGTTAAAAGAGGTAAAGAATGACATCTCATTCCCACAGTGGGCTAATGGGACAAGCCCAGCTCAGAGGAGACACCAATACGGCTTCACACATGAGGAGGGACACCTGATAGTTCTCTGTGTTAAAGGAAGATGAATTCAAGTGGTGGTTGTCAAACTAGAGCATGCATCAGAATTATGTCGAAGGCTTATTAAAATGTAGATTGCTGAGTGTTAGCCCCCCCAGATTTTTTTTTTTTTTTTTTTTTTTTTGAGATAGGGTCTTGCTCTGTTGCCCGTGCTGAAGTGCAATGGCACTTTCATAGCTCACTATAACCTTGAACTCCCTGGGCTCGAGCGATTCTCCTACCTCAGCCTCCTGAGTAGCTAGGACTACAGGGGCATACCACCATGCCTGGGTAATTTTTTATTTTTATTTTTTGAGAGATGGGGGTCTTCTTAAGTTGTTGCCCAGGCTAGTCTCAAACTCCTGGCCTCAAGTGATTCTCCTGCCTTGGCCTCCCAGTGTGCTGGATTACAGGTGTGAGCCACCGCACCTATCCTTCCCTGGATTTTTGATTCAGTATGTCTGGGACAGATCTGAGAATATCTGTTTCTAACAATTTTCCAAATGATGCTGATGTAACTGTTTCAAGGATCAGACTTTAAGAACAGCGTATCTTGTGCTCAACTAGCTTGTATTGGATTTGCTTCTATGAGTTGATGAAAAGGAATGTGTATAACAATAATATAACTGAACTCTACATTTTCAGCTGCAGGATACTAGAATCCTTCGCCATTGTATTATTGAGGGGATCACTGTAGTCTAGGTAAACTACTTAACATAGATGAATATAATCACTTCACTTTTGATTTAATACCTGCTTGCTTGCTTTCTTTTAATCCCAATAGAATATCTTGGAAAGCCAGTTAATTCTCCTCACTTGAAGCATCACTGATTAGCAGATTTCACTGTGTGCTTACATCACAAAGATGTGTGCAGTATATTTTTATAGCTTTTTATAGCTTATAATTCATACTTTGTGAGAATTTTATGAATATAGGTAGGTCTTGATTTTTCAGGCAAGATGGAGCATGATTTATTTGATTCCCTTTTTTAATTTTAAGAGACTGAATTTTTTATGTAACTGAATTCCCGTATTAGCTATAGAATGGAATTTAAAAAACGGAAAGATCAATTTGAAAAGAATTATGTCAGGCCGGGTGCGATGGCTCATGCCTGTAATCCCAGCACTTTGGGAGGTAGAGGTGGCAGATCACCTGAGGTCAGGAGTTTGCAACCAGCCTGACCAATATGGAGAAATCCTGTCTCTACTGAAAATACAAAATTAGCCGGGCATGGTGGTGCATGCCTGTAATCTCAGTTACTTAGGAGGCTGCGGAAGGAGAATTGCTTGAACCTAGGAGGTGGAGGTTGCAGTGAGCCTGGGCAATAAGAGCGAAACTCCGTCTCAAAAACAAAACAAAAACAAAAAAGAAAAGAAAAAAATTATGTCTTCTGAGGAAATTGCTAAAAATGGATGGAATCTATAAGTTTTACTTTTGATGATTGGCATCTGCAACTTAGTTGAGTTTGGGTTGTTTCCAATTTCAGTTGCATTTAGCAGGCAAGGGGGAGAGGTGATCCTTAACTCCTTGTTATCAAAATCATTCCCAAATGGAATATTAGGGAACACAACTAGAAAAACAGGAAGGAGCCCAAGTGTGAAGGAAACAAGAAATGTGGCACTAGCAGGGACAGAGGCAAGGCCCAGGGAGGTCATGTCCCAAGCAGCAGGTGGCTTGTCCCATGCAGTTCTTGTTTTCTCAAGCATAGAGAATCCAGTCTAGTGGAAATGAGTTGGAGATGCAGTTTCAAGAGAAAACTTGGGTAAGTGTCTTGATGTTAGATACTGAGGGTCACTCCAATCATTGTGTCAAAAGTTCAGGCGAGGAATCTGAATAGATAGAAAAGCCAAGAGACCTAGGCAGGAGAAGAGAAGGTCAGGTGGGATTGTGGCTGCCACCCAGTCCTGTCCCTGAAGCATTCAGGGAATTGGATCTCACTTAAGGAGAAGTAACTGTTGGTTCAAACTCTACTAGTTTTATGGGCAAGCATGTCCTAGAGAGGGTCAGGATGGCTTCTGGGCAGTTAGATGCTGTTTCAGACAAATAGCTGACACTGCCTGGACTGAAAAGTCGCTCTTTCTGGCGCTGAAGTCTTTGGGACACCCAGGCTGAGTCAGAAAGGCCCTTCCCTTAAAACTACCCATCCAGAATGCCCTGATGAAATGGAAGACCTTAAATCTGAAGAAGACTTGAGAGGCTTTTCCTCTAAAAAGTGGTGCTTCTATTTATTTATTGAAACAGGGTCTCACTTTGTCACCCAGGCAAGAGTACAGTGGCACAATCATAGTTCATTGCAGCCTCGACCTCCCGGGTTTAAGCGATCTTCCTGTCCCAGCCTCCTGAGTAGGTGGGACCACAGGCATGCACTACCATAACTGGCTAATTTTTTTATTTTTAAAAAGTTTTTTGTAGAGATGAGGTCTCACTATATTGCCCAGGTTGCTCTTGAACTCTTGAGCTCAAGTGATCCTTCTGCCTTGGTCTCCCAAAGTGCTAGGATTACAGGCGTGAGCCACTGCACCCCTTCGTTTTGCCCAATTTCTCCCGTTTGGAATGGGTGTATTTACCCAATGCCTGTACCTCCGTTGTATTTAGGAAGTAACTAATTTGCTTTTGATTTTACAGGCTCATAGGTGAAGGGACTTGCCTTGTCTCAGATGAGACTTTGGACTGTGGACTTTTGAGTTAATGCTGAAATGAGTTAAGACTTTGAGGGACTGTTGGGAAGTTATGGTTGGTTTTGAAACATGAGGGCATGAGATTTGGGAGGGGCCAGGAGTGGAATGATATGGTTTGGCTGTATACCCAAATTTTACCTTGAATTGTAATAATCCCCACATGTCAAAGGTGGGGCCAGGTAGAGATACTTGAATCATGGGGGCAGTTTCCCTCATACTGTTCTCATGACGATGAATATGTCTCACAATATCTGATGATTTCATAAATGAGAGTTCCCCTGCACTTGCTTTCTTGCCTGCTGCCATGTAAGACGTGCCTTTGCTCCTCCTTCACCTTCTGCCATGATTGTGAGGCCTCCCCAACCATGTAGAGCTGTGAGTCCATTAAGCCTCTTTTTCTTTATAAACTACCCAGTCTTGGATAGGTCTTTATTAGCAGCATGAGAACAGACTAATACACTGCTATAACAAATTACCATAGACTGGATGGCTTATAAACAATGGAAGTTTATTCCTTATAGTTCTGGAGGCTGTGGGAAATAAATCAGGGTGCCAGCATGATCAGGTTCTGGTGAGGGCCGTCTTGCAGTTTGCAGGCTGCTTTCTTCTCATTTTATCTCACATGATGCAAAGACAGTGAGAAAGCTCTCTCTAGTTCCTTTTGTAAGGACACTAATCCCATTCATGAGGACTCTACCCTCATGACTTAATTACCTGCTAAAGATCCTACCTCCTAATACCATCTTAGTGGGGGTTAGGATTTCAACATATGAATTTTGGGAGGGCACAGATGTTTAGCCCATTGCAAACCCCTTTGAGTCAAGAACTGTCCAGTTGTGGTAAGAAGTTAAAAGAGAACAGTGTCTCTAAGGACAAAGCTCAGGTGAGAGGGGAAAATTGATGTGGCTCTGGAATCCTACACCAGCAAAGTGGCTCCATCCACACCTCAGCCCTTTCGATACCTTCTCTTGTTTAACTTTATAACAATAGTTCCATTTTTTTTTCATTTTACAGATGGGGAAACAAAGTCAGAGAGCGGCCAAATACCCTGCCCTAAGTCCAACAGGCAGCAGGCGGAGAAACCAGAATTGAACCCAAATGGTCTAGCTCCAGCAGCCGAGCTGTTTGTCACTGAGCTATGCTGTCTCTGTATCTTCATCTTCCTGTTCTTACCAATAGAGTGGATCCTTCTCGTCTACATTCAACACTCCTCATCTTGCCATCTTAAATGCAGCCCTCCCTTGACCAGACATCTTGCTGCTACTTCCTTCTCTCTGCCCTTTTCTGACACGTCAGATTTGATGAAGTTGACCACTTGTATTATCTGTTTTCTCACCTCCCCCACAGTGCTCACCTCACTCCAGGCTG